CTTATTTGATTTGTGTATTTCAGAGGATAAGAAGGGATCTGTTCCCCAAGTATTTTGACAGCAACACGATTCTTCCAATCTCGGAAAACATCCACGGACCTACATGAGCGGACTCAAGAGAAAAAACTGTAATGGATGAATATGTATTCCCATACCCAAACCAGATCAAAACTGTCTCAATATACTGACTTTTATGAGTTTCATTCACATGAACTCTTAGTCAGATTTTCAGCTATACGATTACTCACATTCCGATTACAGCTACATGCTAATAAAGGTTTGAATCTCAACTACTGAACGACTTTAATCTATACAACTGAAAAAAGAGTGTGGCAGTGAATTAAATTCGTCAGTGAAACCAGAGTGACAGTAAGTATTCGGTGACTTCTAGGACAATCAAATACAAATACCACGTGTTTTTAATGATGACCCTTACTTTTTATTTTATTAATTCGACAGTCGACACAAAAGAGATGTTAAATATTTTATTTTGTCGAACGCTTCGACCAGGTGTTTTCCTACTTTGTCACTCTCAAAGGAAAATTAACTGAACGACAGCTATCACCACGACACTGTTTTAAGTCATATCTAGCTCTATAGTTTGGTCGTTTTCGATGGGGGATTCGAAAATAAGTTTGTTATCACCTTTTTATAAATAGTGGTACGGCTTGTATTAGTTCATTTAAATTTGTTTGGTCATCCTTACTAGCCTTATTATAATTAGCTCAACAGTTATACGACTTTGATAATCCAGGAAGTACTAGATACCGATGCATTTACTCTGTAATGTCGAGGTACTCCAGAGGTATGGATGATCTGGATTGGATTCCATGTGTAGTAGGTGCCTCTTGTTCATGAGTCTTGAACTAGAACGAAACACTGTCTTTTGTAAATGTTCATTGTCTACTAAATGAGTACCAGTGAGTACATTGACACGCAATTGTTAGTTCACGATTTCATTTGTTCCAGATAGCTACACTTCCTTACATTGGCTTATACCATGTAGATTTTTGACATATCTTATTTTGAATACATACTCTTAACTAATTTTTTCAACCTGTTTTTATTTCAGTCACAAAATATCTAATTACCTGGAATATGGAAAATATGATATAATACTACCTGTTTACTTGAGTTTACGTATGGCAAAAATTTTCCCTCGAAAATTAAGCCCCATTTTTCCATTAGTGTTATTGTCCTAGCACCGGCCAATCCGCATAGACGAGCTGAAGCAACCAATACGCAACAAGGACGAGAAGATTTATATTCTATGCCTGAAGGTTGGCTCAACACTAACTGGCCCCAAACGAAGAGGAAGAACATACAACAAATGATCACCAGTTCAGGATCACTGTTACATTCCAGATATCCACTTACATACATACAAGACCAGGTCATGTAGCAGACCAAGTGAGTAACAGTACTAACATGGAGCAATATTACTGATGGAAAACGTGATGGGTACACAAATAATCGGTTCTAGTTTATGAGTTGAAAATGCCATAGCAACAAAGTACGATCCCAATAAAAGCTTGGAAATAGGATAATATGAAAATAAATATATATTCAAATAAAACCTTAGAAGAATAGTTTCGAAAGTTTTACCTCATAGTAAAATTATTTTTCATGACAAAAAAGGAAGTTGGATCTTGATTAATCATGAACATTTATCGTTCATCCACATTATCAAGAGTAATTTAGTATATCATGTCAACTAGAGGTTCAGAACGGATAAGTTGATGTTTCAATGTTAGCAGTTGGTACAGAAGTAACTGCTGACAGTAGATAACTTATGTAGCTTTTTTAAATATTGTTGTATACATTTAGAGGTACTGGTAGAACCACTGTGGTGTGTGCTACTTATATTGACATAAGTAGTATATGATGTTAGCCGTGAACAGAAGGTCTGACAGCAGAGAGACAAGAGGATCGAACAGTAAAGAATGGAAACAGGATGCAATTTGTATGAAAATGCAAGAACAATGAAGTCTGATTCATTTTGAGACAAATGGTGGACATTTTGCAAATTAAGAATTTACTTAATGATTGTTAGATTTTGTTAACAAGTCCTGAAGTTCTGTGTTAAGTACACTCGACTGACCCCACCCGTGTTCTGTTCACTACACCACCACCAGTTGTTAGGTACTACACGGAAAGGTACACTGTCAAACCTATGTTGGACCGAACTTAGATGTTCCGAGGCTAATACATTACCATTTAGCAGCTGGATCGAAACCTAATGTTTCGTACTTTCAAACTTCGATGAGCCGCCACTGGTTTATAATAGTCTTGCTTGGTAGTCAAGCTGTATTACAAATTGAGAGGGAATCCATGTGCGAGCTTCTGAATTTTGACTAAGTAGCTCAATGGCTTCGAGGCATAAAAGCCGTTTGCTCCTGCGAAGTCATGTGTGGGTTTCGTAGTCCTAAACCGGAGTGCGCCGGAAATGATTTGTTCATTAATCTTCCATAGGTGACTTTTCACTAACACACTTAACCGATGACGTAAGTTATAAGACCTTACAGATTTTGGCCATTACAGCACAAACGGAGTTTAGTAAGGTGTCTGTTCAACGCATGTATGTTGTGAAATACCCTTTAAAGCCTGTAAGTCAATAAGTTAAATGACATCTAGATTTTTTCTCCATTTCGTTTGGAAGAAAAGAGTTGACAATCTGGCACCGCATAAAGTCAAGAATACTCTGAGAAAGGGACGGCAGAGTCAATAATGTGACACTATAGACAAGATAATCGTCACTGGGGATTAAATCCATGTTTCCATGTACGCTTCGATAATGTAAAAGTGAGTTATATATTGCTGAGTTTACCAAACTGTGTGTGTAATTATGGAGAAGCGCTCAATATACACAATCAAGTGATGGGATATAAACATAAATGACTCTATGTCAGTTGAGATTCCAATCTCAGATAAGTACAGGTGTTAGCTATCCATGATCCTCTATAGCCAAACCTGGAATAGAAACAGCATGAGATTGACTCCAAGACATTTGAAATCTATATGGAAACTACCATGGGGACATTCTTAGGTTGTATGTATCATTACCAAGGTTTGATTTGATAATTTCGAATAAATTGAGCATTGAGTAGGTTGTTATAAGTAAATAATATATTTGTAAAATCCCAATGAATAGAAAATTAGACTTTCTGACGTTTCGCGACTTAGTGTAAGTCACTTCTTCAGAGAATAAGTAACCAAATTAAAATTAATCCAAGTTTAAATAGTACAAACGGAACAATAAGAATAATATTTGATCAATCAAAAACAGGTCTGGACAAGTTAATGTCATGTCATTTCTGTCAAGGTGATTCATAAGTGATATGTATGTAAATTTGTATGTGTGTGCATTGCTTAAGAATGAAAAATTGTGTGACCTTTATGGTTAGAAACGATAGAGTTCAATTTGTAATATGGTAGTGTGAATTGTAAATATGATCAGACTGAATGGCTGGGATAGATGGTCCAAGTAGGTTGTATGGTGAGGCCTTCCTTTCTATTGAGAGAAGTAGGATTAAGCATTATATGGAACGCTTCAGCTACCCTCCTTTCTTTGTAGTTGGAAAAGCCTTTTTGCAATATTTTGATGTTTTTAAAATCAATTTGGTGGTTGTTGAAAATGGCATGAACTGCTATTGCCGATTTAATTTGAAGTTGATCCAATTGTTAGGAGGTTTCTTTGTGTACCTAATATGTTCTTTGGCTCTAGTCAAGATTTCGCGGGATGACTCTCCAATATAGAAGGCATCACAATCCATACAACCTAATTTGTAGACGCAGTTCTGTGTGGACATGAACGGGATTTTTTCTTTTAGGCGAACTAAAGTATTTCGTAGTGTGTTCGTTGTTTTGTAATATACTTTAATTCTGTGATGTTTCAAGATTCTTTGAAGTTCTTCTGTTGTGCCATGACGGTATGGTAGAACTGCAGTACCAATCCATGGCATTTCATTCGAATCATTATTATAACGTACTAAACTGTCTTGTTTTAATATACTGCTAATAATCTTCATAGGAAAATTATTAAATTGTAAGACGCTAATTACATTCTTTTTGTTTGTCTTCCTCTGATGAGATGATCCTGTTAGCTCTTCTAAAAAGATTTAATGCTAGCGAGATCTTAACACTAAAAGGATGTGCTGAATGGAAGTCAATACAACGATTTGAGTGCGTAGGTTTAGGTAAATGGATAGGTTCAGAATTCCATTTGGATTTTTTTAATTTTCTACTAATTGGGATTTTACAAATATATTATTTATTTATTCTTAGGTTGGTTTGTGTTCAAAAGAATTGTCCTTATCTTTAGCTTAACCTAAAAGAGATTGCGTCAAAGTAGTCTGAAAATGTGCTATTATTTGAAGGTCCACTTCTCAACCACAATTTTTAAACGGGATACCATCAGACTATTTAATGTAGGTAGGGATTCTTTAAAGTAATAAAGCAGTAATAAGTTACAAGTTTTATAGAAGTAAATTATATACTGTTGGTTTGTCTAGGACTTCAACCTCATTTTACTTCCACATTCGGTCATTTGGAATTATTTATGTTCACGATATTTGCTTCCAATATGTTTGTATTAATATTTTCTCTTAGTGCTGAACCTGCATTCACTTATTAAAAAAACCCAACTATATGCGGATTCATAGAGTAGGGACAAGTCACACCGATATTAGAGTTAATTATATGTTAAAAGGCTATTTGAACACTCGATAAGGTGGATTTTTACATGTAACCCAGTTGTTAAAATTTGACCACATATATATGCATTTTAATCATAAGATTAATCCCTTAGTCCCTCTAAAAAGATGCTTGGAAGTGAATATAATTAGTTTTTTTAGTTAACATATTCTGAAGCAATTTGAATACTTTGTGCATTATATTTATCAAGATTATATTAACAATGATTATAATGGAACATCTAGAAAATGAACGAGATAGTGAAAAAAGTTGCAATTATTTTATATAAAAAAAGTGTTAGCAACTTTTTATTTTGGAACAGCACGTAAACAATGCGTAAACCAGAGTAAGGATGAAAGTAAAACAACACCACCGCATTGATGCAATGATCCCAATGAAGCTGGTACATAACATAATAAAGTTGTTATGCCAAGTACTGATTGTCCTAACACAGCACCAAAAACCAAGTGTGCAGCATTCCTAATACGTGGTCCTGTACATGCTACACCTAAACGCATGACATTTGCCCATAATAAACCTGTGGTTAAAACTGTTGTATAAGCTAGCATTCGATGAGTAAATTGAACTGTAGTTGGATTGTCCAAAAAGTTCCTCACAGTAGAACCATATCGAGATACAATTAAATCATCAGGAATCCACTTATCAGCCATTTTTGGCCATGAATTATAGATTAATCCTGCATCAAGACCAGCCACAAAAGCACCTGAATAGTAGTAAACAAAAAAAAACAAATTTACCACCAATTCAACAAAGAGTCAATCAAATGTTTACCGAAAGAAGAAAATATAGAACAACAACATAACTAATATCAAAACTTAACTGGAAATCCCAATGACAATAGACAATGTTTCAAAAAAGAACATATCCAATCTTTAAAATCTTAATAAAATTCCAGTGTGTGTCATATGTCTCCTTTTCGGAGTTAGAAGTGATAGTTTCTTTGAAGAATAAAATTTTAAATATTGGCAATGCATATACACCAGATAAGCATAGAATCCACTTGATGATCAACCCTGATAAGTGATGTGTGGTAATGAAAGTAAAGTATGATTGGTTGTTAAGCGTGAACAAACAACCACAGCATACGGACTATTAAATATATGATTTTCCTCCTTATCATTGATTTCTAGTTCGGACTCACTGTGTGTGACTGCTTGTAATTATTAATCTGGTTCTCTATTCTGGGTTGTGAATCCCAATTCTGATATAACGTGATTAGTCTTATTAACGTATTATCGTAATACACATGTAACAGAGTAAAATGTTGTAAACCATCCGTTATATCAGTAAGTATAATTAGTCATATTAATGTGTTGTTTAATTGAAATTCAAGTTATTAAAGTGATTATTTTATTTGCTTAGATGATATTTATTATAAGCAGAAAATAATAACTAACTGATATTTAACCACAGTTGTCGTAAAAGATTAGTTTTCTACCCTCATTATGAGCGATTTACTGCTGTTGTAGTGAATATTCATTCTAGCGAAAACCTTAAGCAACGTCAGAAGTAACTTTAAAATGGATATCCCCGTTATTAAAGAGTAAACAGATTAACAAAAACAAGAATCTATCACCACAAAAGTAATAAAATCTGAGTGTACGTGATTGTTTTGCATGGCTTACATGGTTTATAATCGGTTTTTCTTATACCAAAATGAACCACTTTTTACATAAACTTATTCATTTGAGAGATGATCAGTTTATGCTTGAGGTCTTACATTAGGTCATCAATGCTACTATTAATGATTTCTTGTAGTTCTCAAAATATTTTTGAAATGACATACAGTCATGTGAGACTTATACCAGGCACAAATATGAACCGATTGAAGTTACCACATCACATTAGCAATATCAATCCTAATCCCAAAATAGTAGTGTGATGTGTGCTACTTATATAAACATAAGTAGAATATACGCTAGTTGGGAATAGAATGTCTGGCAACAGAAACTCGAGGGGGAAAGAACGGGAACAGAAAGCAATTGGTATGGAAATGCAGGAACATTGAAGTCCCAGACGATTGACTGATATTTTTAAAAGGAACAGTCAAGTTTGTGACAATTGATTGACATCTTGCAAATTGAGTATTCACTGTAGAGTTCTCAGATTTTACTAAGATATTCTGTAATTTTATGTTCAAAAACATTCGGTTGTTACCACTTGAGTTCTCGCTCACCACAGTAGTACTAACAATATTAGTAGGAATAGAAAAGATTAGGTATTGGGTGAAAAAAATAAAGTAAAAGGTCACTATCTGACAACCCAAAGCAAAGTAATGGTAACGGAAATCTCGACCTTTTCAAATATTTAAACGATATAACAGAGCCTATTATTCAATCTATCAATAGTCCGATGATTTATTTGAGTTTAACTCTGAAGAAAGAAAAAGAGATGTATCCTAATTGGGCTATGCTTCTTAACTCATTATAGCCTCTTCAGTCAGTGGTTACGAAAGTAGAACCTGGCATAAAAGTGTTTGCCCAAGTTGATATATCATATCAGTACAGTGAGTGATAAAAAACCAATAAGATCTATACAAAACAGCTATGGGTAACAGTAGCATTGGTGACAGTAAAAAAGGTTAAACATAGCAGATATGGCTCGCAAAAATGATCAAAATCAAGGAATTAGAATCACAGGATATCATTACTCATGATTTGCGATAAGTCTTGCTAAATGAGTGCTCGATCCGACTTACTAGACGTTTCTAGTAACTCCAGGCTAAATTGACACGATTACTTGAAAACAAGAGGAAAGGCGCGAAGTGCGAAAAAAACTTTACCTCAAGGTTAGTTTGTGTACGGAAAAACGAGGATATTTATAATACTGCAGATGATTGTATGGTTCTGAAATTTTCCGAAACGAAAGCAAATATAGTAGCAAAAGAGGTAAATATCCAATCAGAAACGTAACACGCAACATTCTAGATGTTTCTGGGAAGCTTCTATTCAACGTTGACTGAATAAAATGGTTCCCAGTGTTTTCTGAACCCATATGGACTTTTCCGAGGAATACTTTGCAACTCCCCAAAAATGCATCTTTCTATTCATTGAAACATAAGGAAGTGACAAATATATGTGTGCCACACAATAAAAATAAGGTAGTGGAAGGATAGATGAAGGAAAGTGAGCATAATAAAAAAGAACGATAATTGAAAATTAGTGTATGAAAGTGAAATAATAATAATAATGAGGCAGATCAGTTAGAAAAATACAACCAGAAATAACTCTTTTAGTTGAAAAAGTTACTCTCACTGACCTCTTTCAACGTTCACAAACCAATAAACATAGGACAACAAATAGGGTTGACTTTGTCTCTAGAGAGTCTCAACATCGACATATGTTGTCTATCCGAGACCCAAGATCCTAGTAAACTACTACAAATTCGCTCTCTATCTGTTGCTTCGAAAAACTTGTTTTACGCACGTCTATCCAGGGACCCTGTGGAATCGTCGTCTGCTTCTGTTGGCGTTGGTGTCACAACAAGCGCTAGAGCTGAAGCAGCACCAATCGATCGGATCTCCATTAACAGCCGGTTATGTGCTGTTAGATTAGAAAGCCTCATGAAAATGAGAAGAAATCGCGTGAAAAACAATGTCTTTTCATTGTCTCTGCCTACGCTCTGACAGACTGCAGCCCGGATGTTATCAAGAATGAGTTCTACCACCAGTTAAGTGATCAACAGAGAGTGAGTTTTTATTTCACTCCTGTACATTAATCTCTAATGATTGTTGTTCTTATTTTTTATTATACTCACTTTCCTTCCTCTATCCTTCTACAACTTCATTTTTACTGTGTGGCACATATATATGTGGTGCCCTCTTACACCAATGCTTATATGTTTAAACAAATAATAGTGTATAACACACTTCTAGGGCGCACCCTTCTTCAAAAGACAACCCAATAGAACGCTTCTGACACTGAGTGGTTTTGAACCAAGGTCACATCTGGTCATCAGCCATAAACTATGGTTATCTCTCCGACAACAACCAGATAGTTTTATACCCCTAAGATAGCTCAGAAACAAACCGGCAGTCTGTGGATTCATGTAGTGATGCAACGTCTTTGTTTGACTGACCCTAAATTTCTTCCGATTTGCTCTTACTCCTACTATTCCAAAACTAATAACTGCGAGGTTTAATACGGTCACACAAAGTTATTAGTTGACTAAAACTGAATATATAAACATTCTTGAACAGCTAAATATTCTTGTGCTATAGATATGAAATATTTGCAAGCAATTTCTGTCCAAATATACATGCGAACTGAAAAATAAATAAATAAAAGCTTTTTCTTACCATAAATTATGGTTGTAAACGTTAGAGCTTTACCCATATGACCATATGCTTTAAGTCGTTTGACGCCGCTGAATGGTTTAACCTGTTGAAAGAGTTTATAAATTAAGGCATACTCATAAAAACCGATAGTTTGAATACTACTTAAGCATTTGTATTAAAACTCAGAAGTGAACTATTAATTTAGCTTTCCTTTTTATATTCAGTGAAATCAGATGCTAAATTCGATTGCAAACTGTTATAAGAAAAGAATCACCCTGAAAGTTAAATCAGGGCGTATTGTACCTGACTCAAATAACTGACCAATAATGTATAATTTTAAAACTAATGAGGTAGCCTTGAAGTGTATTGTGTTCTGTTACAGAATAAACGTTATGATATAATAAATCCCTTATTTCAAAGAAATATACGGTTAAACTTTTCTCTAACTTGCAGTAATCAAAACTAATCTACTAACTGAACGAAATTGGTTTGAAGACTATTATAAATTAATGACAAGAAAATTTTAATATTTCCCCGTTTTTAACGGTTCCTTTATTGTATAAAACAGTTATGCGCAACCATTCATTTAATTAATGCCTTGTATTCCCGTTTTAATATACATAATAAAACACTTCTGGTTAGTTTTGAGCTATGGTGTTTAGGTGTAATTGTTGTAAAACGAATTCGGTTCACGGTTGCGTTTTATTTTGAGAGTGGTTGATTGCAAATCACACCATTAACCACTTCAAAATCCCCATTTTACAGAAAAGCAATCTATAAGTTTTTATCACTGTGGGGTATGTATGCTCAGTTTCAAATAATGTAGTGCAGACGGGAGTCCCAATCAAACAATAGCTGCAATGTAAGTACTTTTTAGCGGTGGCAACTTTTGAAGCAAGATAGAAATGACGGTACATTCAAGGAAATAATGTGCGTGGTTTAATTAAAGACAAATAATTGTGGCAGTCTTCAGTCTTGAAAACATGCTAACCTGAAATATTTAGTGTGCGCAAATCCCCGAGCGTCCTTCCGACAAAAGGTTTGAACGGATTCAGTCAGTCAGCTACAACGTAGGACCAGGCACATATGTGCATCGGTCCAGGTTGCCATACCTCATTAGCACAACAAGATGAACACCGGATTCATAGGAGTGGTTAGGTCAAAGGTTGCAATAAGGATATAGTATAGGAAGGAAGAATTAGTTCGTAGAAAGAAAGATATGAAGTGATTTTAATCTCTTAGTTTAAGGGAAGACAGGGAGTGTATACACCGACGCCATTGTGAACGGATTTCCCTGAATACTAAAACAACTTAGATGATACTTGACTTTCGCGCACTAATTAGTATTAAAATCAAGCTTAGATGTATGTGATTTTTTTAAAAAATCTATAGGAAATTCATTAGCGTTTGAAGTTGCATGGCACACTTTTTGTGACTTTATGAGCCGCTTGTTACCACGTAATCTATTCACCAATCAAAATACGAATTATTCGCTCTTATACTGTACCTAACCAATGACGTTCAACCGGTCTGATCAGCCTAGCGTCCTATTGACCCATTGCCCACCTAGCCCGTCCAGCTGAGTCCAGAATGCCAATAACAGCCTCCACTATGCAAATCATTTATTTCAGACATACTGGGTTTATATACCAAACAAACAGACCGCAACGCAGCATAAAATGGGAAATAACGTTCATACACAATAAAGCCAAAAAGTGGCTGTGAACGTGGAAGGCAGTAGTCAATAAACTGAACATAGCTTAAGAACCGTAAATCGTACAATAATAATATATAGGTTAAAATAAAGCTGTTAACAAGGGGAATATAGATATACACAGTCTAGTTACTGAATATTTATACCATAAGAATATATAAATAATATTAGTCCATTAATAGGTCTCAGAAGTTACTCATAATGTAATCTTCACTAGGATATAACAACACTATTTGGTAACTTTATTATGTTAAAATATATGTATAACATCGCCACTCGTTTTCTTTGCTTTCAGTGGAAGTAAGGTGACAGAAATACATCATAATTTCTCCAAATAAAACGATTATCCGTTATTTATGATTTGATTCATACTAAGAGATAGGTTTAGATTTATATTTGATAATTAGAACCATCTAACACTGATTTCTAACCCTTATCAGAAATGAATACATGGAATACAAAAGTCCCTATTTTTACACAACAATCATAATTATATCAAAAACGAAACCTAACCTATCTTAGAATCATTATTATCGAGCCTCTGTTGGTTAAAAACTAAAGTCAAACCTTTTTGGCGTTCAGGTGTCATGAGGAGTTCTAGTTAAAATTGGCAAACATACTCTTAAATTACTACTTAACACGTAACTTTAAAAGATAAGCGAAAAAGTCACACTTACTAAAGAATGGGAAGCTAAATGGTTAAAGCTACCCCATAGAAGTAATGAATATAGAATAATCGCTGAAATCAAGTGAGCACAAAGCCAATAATGATCCACACGCGGAACACCAATATAATTCTCATTTGGTGGAAGACCTGCCGGTCGTCTAGGTTCTTTGAGACCACTGCGTACCATAAGCCAGCCCAAAACACCCTACAGTGAAAACATGCATACGTCATAATAAACATGAAAAACCAAATTTTATAGTGTTCAGCAACATCTTTTAATTTTAATATTTAATGTTATCAAACCAAAACCGCAAGCAACCTGTTATACGTTTATAACTGAAGCATATTTTACTATCTGAATAATATAATCTTTTAATCAAATTTTGGTGGCAAAACTATGACAAAACTTGACATAACTTATGTAGTGGAATGGAAGCCAAGGTTGTTAAAAAAGATACTACTGAAGTGATCAATATCATGATCAGTACTGTAATCCCTGGATTATAAAGTGTGGACCAGCTAGGTTGGTTTCAGTGAACGACATTTGATGGAAATAAACCCTTTGGAACCACTAACTAGACATATAACATTGGTTATCCGCTCATCACAAATCATAAACATTTTTCGGCTTATTTACCACCTCGTATATCATATATAAGATAGGCGATGGAGTTTGAACAGTACTTGACAAGTAAGACCGACTGTCTGTATCTTACAAAATTTGCCTGCGTCAGCTCGAAGTGAATGTGAGAGACTATAAGTGTTTTTTCAGCACTTGTTCAATTGCAGTTATTCATGAATTTAATAATAACACTGTAATAATAATACTGTTTATTAGATTTTATCGAACTTAAGGAAGTAGCAACGTTCCGGTAAGTCAGTCAAATGCACCGTAGAAACTGCCACGTGTACATCGGTTCGAGTTGACATACCCCATCAACACAGTGAGAAGAGATTATTAGGCCAAATTCCAAAGTAGTAGAGGTAGTAACAGTATTAATGGTAATACAGAATCTTAGCAATTAAGGATACAGTTCGAAAAAAATATATAAGTAGGTGTGTTAGCGGGACATAGACTGGATTAAAGCATGCTCAATGCACGCTGACTGGCTAATTCTTATCCAATCAGCACTAGTCAATACTTGAAGAATACTCTAGAATCTTCTCATGTAAAAACTATAAATATACTAACGTTTTCCCTATTGTGCTTCTTACTTGCTTCTTGCTTCCATCTAACCTTGTTATTTGGAATATAATCTCTTTCCTGTTCAAACGTGTTCTGATTTGGGAACTTGTCGAGTGATTTGGTGTCCAAGAATACTAAGCAATAGGAATAGCTGGGTTATAACCGTAAGAGAGATTGTAACAAGGTGAAATAATAAAAATTTGCGAGGAATTTAGAAACTTAGGATCTAAGGGAAGAGAAAGTGAATGGACCTCCACCACTGAGAACGATTCTGAGTCATATCATCCAGAGTCTCTAACAAGTGGTTGCGATTATCACGCGAACGTCAACTAGATAGTCTACACCTACCCATATGGATCAGTCCAACAGTCAGTGTTTTAATGGACTGGATAAACCTTAGTTTGGCTGCCCTTAACTTCTCCAACCTACTTCTACATCAACTACCATTGAACGTCCGTGAATTAGCATACATAATGCATGTCCGAACGTTTAAAAATATGACTCGGACTGTAAACTTTTTAACAGTTCATAGTTGAAGTCATGAACATCTTCCTCTTAATGAACGAAGACTGTACAAACATTGTTTTTAAAAACCAACCGTAAGCTATCTACCCTTCAGTAATAGTCAAATTTATATCCTCATGCGTAACTCTTGTTTACGAATTTCATCAAACATAAGAGAAATCCCTTGTTATTACTTATGAACTATTCAAATTTTCTAGGTAGCCGTACAATTTCAAAATATCACTTGAAAACACTCCTTTAAATAGCCTTATTTTTGATAAGTTTCTGGGAAAAAATTGACCATGCGAAGTAAATAAGTTGAGTAGTGCGATTTTACAATTGTGTAGTGTAAATAATTGTATTTTAAAGTTTATAACAACACTGACTCGTTTCACCAAAGAAACCAGCATTTTTGGAAACAGATAAGCCTAGACTTTGAGACCCCATCCCGTATAAAACAACCTTGCTACAAAAACACTAACGAGAATAAACCATTTAAACTCTGCGCTCTGAGTTGAAGGATCTTCATTCAGGAGAATTATGACTCCTGGAGATGACAACCGAGTTTCTTCGGAAGTCACGAAGCCGATGCCCCTTCGAACAATCAGAGCAATAATTTTCTATAGATACATGGAACGTCCGGACAGTGTGATAAACCGGGAGAACCAGTCAAATAGCAACGAAATGAGAAGATACAAATTGGCAGTACTCGGAATCAGCGAAACCTATTGGACCCAAGCTGAACAGAACAGGTTAGGTACGGGAGAGATGCTGCTCTACTCCGGTCACGAAGAGGAGTTGCTCTGATACTGTTCAAAGAAGTACGAAATGCACTTATACGATGGGAATCTCATGGACCCAAGGTCATCAAAGCATCCTTCAAAACAAAGAAGGAGGGAATCACAATGAATGCTATCCAATGTTATGCACCCATCAATAATAGCAATGACGACGATAACAATCAGTTCTACGAGAAGCTGCAATCGATCATAGCGAAGTGTCCAGGAAAAGAACTTGACAATTCTGATGGGAGATCTAAACGCCAAAGTCGGAATGGACAGCAACGGTTAGGAAAATATCATGGGATGACACGGATTAGGAAAAAGGAAATAAAATGGCGAGAGATTTGCAAATCTATGTGTAATCAATTAAATGGTTATAGGTTGCACAATATTCCCACATAAACGCTTACATGAAGTTGCGTGGGTCTCAGTGGAACACACTCAAAAGAACCAGGTCGATCACATTTGTATCAATGAAGAATTCAGAGGGACAGTGGAAGACGTGAGAATCAGAAGAGGAGCCCACATAGCTTCAGATCATCACCTGGTTGTGGTCAAGATGAAACTGAAATTAAAGAAATGCTGGGCAACTGATGGAAAATCATTACAAAGGTTCAATACAGCCTCCCTACAAGATTCTAACAAACTCAATGAATTTCAGACAACTCTTGACAACAGGTTCCAAGCCTTACAGGATCTACTGAAAGAAACCATGATAGAGGACAACTGGAAAGAGATCGAAGAAGCATTAACTTCAGCGTGTCAGAGGGTACTGGGCTGCAAGAAACACCATCATAAGGAATGGATCTCTATCGAAACCCTGGACAAGATTCAAAAAAGAAAAAACGAGAAGACAGCAATCAACAACAGCCGAACAGGAGCAGTGAAAATCAAGGCTCAAGCTGATTACACAGAAGCAAATAACCAAGTGAAACAGATCATTAGAGCTAGTCACTATACATCAACATCCTTGACTATGAGAAAACATTTGACAGCCGAGGTAGGAGAACCTTATGGAACCTTCTTCGACACTATGGTGTACCTGAGAAGATCGTCAACATCATACGGAATTCATACGACGGACTACACTGCAAAGTTGTGCATGGATGACAGCTGAGAAATGTATTCCAAGTGAGGACATGAGTCAGGCAGGGCTGCTTACTCTCCCCTTTTCTTTTTCTTCTGGTGATTCACTGGATTATGAAGACCTACACATCTGAGGGGAAGCACGGAATACAATGAACAGATTGGATGCAACTAAACGATTTGGACTTTGCAGATGACACAGCTAGTCTAGACCACACACGCTAACAGATGCAGGTCAAGAAAAACAGTGTACCATAAGCCTCTACATCAGTAGGCCTCAACATACACAAGGGAAAAAGCAAAATCCTCAAATACAACACAGAGAACACCAAACCGACCACACTTGATGGAGAAACTCTAGAAGAGGTGGAAACATTCATGTGCCTGTGAAGCACCATCGATTAACAAGCAGCATCTGATGCAGATGTGAAGGCAAGCATTGACAAAGGGTGACATTTCTGCAGTTGAAAAACATGGAACCCCAGACAACTGTCAGCCAACATCAAAGATAAGATCTTCAATACGAACATCAAGACAGTTCTACTGTACGGAGATGAAACTTCGAGAACTACCACAACAATCATCAAAAAGGTACAAGTATTTATGAACAACTGTCTACGCAAGATACTCAATGTTCGTTGGTTGGATACCATCAGCAACAGTCTACTGTGGGAGAGAAGCCAGCTTTCAGACATCCTCCGGTGTTCGGGATGGTTGGAAGAAATTTAGGGGTGGTCAAACCAAAACGTGGCATCAGTGCTTGAAGTCACTAACTTCTGGTGTGAACCATGTTGGGAGATGCAGACTACTTGGTTGGGGTCCGCGTGACTATCGTAACCAATAGTTGGAGACTCTTGGTGACATGGCTCAGAACCTATCAAAATGGCGTAGGTGTATACAGTCTCTGTTTTCCCTTAAACTAAGAGATTAAAGTCGCTTCATATCTTCCTTTCTACGTACTAATTCTTTCTTCCTGTACTATATCATTCTATGCAATCTTTCTTTTATATATTACCACCATTGACTTAACTACTCCTATAAATTCGGTGTTCATCTTGCTGTGCTAATGCGGTATGGCAACTTGGGCCGATGCATATACGTGCTAACTGACGGACTGGATAGGACACAAATTGAAGAAATCATTAAACTCCATCACTAGGCAAGCGCTAACTTGGAATCCCGAAGGGAAACGGAAAAGAGGAAGGTCAAAGAACACCGCGCCGAGAACTGGAAGCAGACATGAATAGGATGAATAACAACTGGAAAGGATTGCCCAGGACAGAGTTGATTAGAGAATGCTGGTGAGCGGCCTATGCTCCTCCATGAGGGGAAACAGGTGTAAGTAATTACGTCCAGCAAAGACAAGTTATTTAAAAACTAATAGGAAGATTCTATTCTTTTTTCCGTGGTAACTATGTCCCATATAGTAAAAATGATAAACATAACATTGTTAGGTCGCTACAAACAACTCAAAACAAAAATTCGGTTTTTAAATTTTATTTACGATAGACTAAACCATACTCTACGGGATATATGAAAATGTATTTCCTTAATAGGTGGGAGCAGTCAATACAAACCAAAGACACTGGGTTTACACTTATTGAATTTAATACCTATGAAAATCCAACTAGGAGTACGTGCTTGTAGGGCACAACATAATTCAGAGATCTTCCAAATTATATAATAACAAGGTAACAAGTAAATTACTACCTGAAATCCAATTAGTCCCCCATAAATAAAAACACGAGATTTCATGACGGAAGAGAAATAACCTCTGTAGAAAAAATAGATTGCTGGAAAAACAAAAGCAGCACCGATCGTCCGACCCCACATTCGGTGAATAAATTCCATATACCATATAAATTTGAATTGAGTGATCGACATTTCACCACGCTCCTTTACATAACTGAACAGGACGTAGGTAAAGAAATCTAAACTTGCTGTTCATGTTCTGGAAACTTCTTGTATTTTTCGAATTCTAGTCGCCAATGTTCTTCACTGAAAGGAGGTACCTCCTTAAACGGATGCCAGTCAACCATTGAGAGTCCAGACTCGGTCAATCTTAAGTAAATAGTTTACGAATAGAAATAATAAGTACCTTGTAACTCCACCAAGCAAAATAGCACCAAAAGTCATGCCAGAAAGACCCAAGAGCCATCGACCAACAACTGATGCGGCCTGAGTTGTTGTCTGACTGACTGGGACGGATACTGCTGCTGATTTGGATGACGCAAGCAGGTACCTTTGAAAATATATATGAAATCCAACAGGTCGAAGAGTTCTTACTGCCGCAGATCCTAAGCACGAGCCAAAAACCATTCCCCAGTTTTTACAATGTAATCTACAATTTCGCAAAATGAAATATGATTGGAGGTTATCGAAGTCCGATTTTGCCAGAATTTAAACAGCGACTTGAAATGCAGATGTGAACCTAAGTGTGGGGTATTCATCTACCATTAATGAAACATGAATACATAATATTAGGTAAATGATAGAAGCGGAGTTGTTCTCTAGTGAATTAAACGCTAGTTCCAACTGACAGGTCACATATTCGGTAAACCCGTTTTTTTCAAACTCAACATGTAGAAACAAAGAGGTATCCATAGTCTTCCAGAACCAATACTAAGAATCTCAAAATAAAAGTGGTTCGACATACACTGGTGGATAGCTTGATTACCTAAACGGCCGCAGGTCCGAAACCTTGTCGGCTGACCTACTTTACATGATCAATGCTCTTGGCAGGTCTAACGTCAACATTGCGCATGAGGTTACCCAATTGCGTCCCGACTGTTGCTGCTACATTGACGTGGTGGTCGGGCTTGCCTATCGCAATTAACCAACCGGGCTATACTGGCTAGAACAACCATTTCTCAAGGTTCTACCATGCCAATTAGATTGGTTGAAGAATGGTAAGGCTAAAAGGGAAGTCGCACTGTTGACTGTACAGAGATGTGACAGTAAGGTGTTTCCTTCAGACAACCAGCATAACAGAGATGGTGCCTTCCTGCAAAGAAAGGATGAGGTTAGAAAATGTCGACCCTAAAAATGCACACCTCGCCTTATGCCACGGATATTTGTCTCCGACGGTAAGGTTTCAACAAGTACGGAACGAACACAAAATTTACCCACAAAAAGGGAGGGTGTGACCGGCCTCAAGCAGTTGTCCCTTGGGCACTTCAGTCACTTAGACCAATCATAATCCAATTTCCTTTTCAGATACCTTTAGAAGAACCCTTCCACGATGTGGGCAACGGGAAAGTGATAACCACCTCACATACCTCCAACAGTACTCAAGATCACTGAATTTATAATCAATCTCCCTCTTCAATTCCTATTATTCCTCCTGTCTAGACTATCAACTCTATACTTCCTTTTCAAGTGTCACCATGGCCAACGATTATAGTGCGAGAAGTACTGTCCCAGGTCTACTGGAAACTCGCTCCAAACCTTCAACGTACATACTGTATGTCAAATCGGCCAACAGACCTCCTTGGCTAAGATTCTGGAATCTCGTACCATTGATGTATGCTGTCTTCGAAACACGCATACAACATCCTAGTGTGGTCATTTGGTTGACTCAACCCCCAAACGCTCTGGCACGACCGAGGGTGGGGAGAGATAGCTCACCCTCTAGAAATGCTCTCAACATGGCTACGCGTATACAGCCACTGATAAGGAAGTCCTACTCACTGCCTTCTCGCAGTAGGGGTGTTGTTTACGAAATTGGGAGGAGGAAAAGCGAATGTCCGGTGCCTTAACCGGGTTGATGGATATGGAGAATCCACCTATGGAAATTAGAAAACGCTGATTCCAAACCAATGATAACTGCTACTGGCTTCATTATTACTGTGTGGCGCGTTGTATTTGGTGTCCCCTTGTACCAATGTTTATGTGTTCAAATAAATAAATAAATCTAGCCAAAACGAGGAGCCGACGAGATATACCCACCGCGTATATGGAGACCCGATGGCTAGCTCTTGTGGACTGGCAGGTGTAGGCATAGCACTAAGTACGACGGCAGGACAAGCACTAATAGAGTGGATCCCCAATAACAGTCATCTATGTACTGTTCAGCTAAACGGCTCCGTAAGAACTCGGAAGGATATGGACACACGTCGTTGCCTTCTCGTCGCTTCTGCCTATGCTCCCACTGACTGCAACCTGGATGAAGTGAAAGATGACTTTTACAGGAATTCTTCAAAAAGCTAGACACACAAACGTAGTGCTCGTAGCAAGTGAATTTAATGCCCAGCTAGGTAGTTTAAACCCAACAGGAAGATATTTAAGTGGGTATTTTGGTATTCTGGCTCAGCGAACATATAACGGTGACCGTCTGCTGCGACTGTGTTCAGACAATTGTTTAGTTTTAGCAAGTACTAATTTTAAGCATAAGGAGAGACATCGTCTAACTTGGAGACGTTTTGCACCAAACCAACGATTGACTCAAATAGACCATATTGCCATCAGTCATCGTTTGAGAGGCCCGACAAAAGATTGTCGCTCATTCTGGAATACCTAATTGGACTCCGACCATGCTCTAATACGGACATGCATTTGCTTGCGCCCCACTGGACGCAGAGAAGCCACACTGAAAAGACCCATTAGAATTGAATTGAGTGACGAGAAAACCAAAAGTAGGTTCCAGGAACAACTGAGGTCACACCCAGATAGTTCTGAAAATGAGACTGAACCAGATGTTGCTTGGAAAGACATACAAACAGCTGTAGAAACAGCAGCGACATCTATTGGTGATTTGAACCAAAGGGTCGCGAACAACTAGTGAATTTCTGCTACATCTATTGCACAGAGAGACTTCCGTAAACTCGTCCCATCAGGCTCCGAACACGCTGAAAAGCGAAAACAAATCAGATCTAGGTTAACCAAATATCTAGGGAACGACCGTGAGCTGTGGTGGGCAACGAAAGAGATAGAAAAGGCAGCAGCTGTAGGTAACACAAGACAGCTTTTCAGACTAATAAAAGAAACTGGAATTAAGAAGTCAAGTGTAAGTGAGACGATCTCGCAAAAAGACGACACTTATCTACTCACAGCCCAGACGTGAAGACAGGCGGAACACTTTAAGAAGCAGTTCAGTCGGCCTTCAGGTACTCTGCAATTACCTACCATTTCCAAACAACCATTCAGACAGGTCCCCGACTCGGATTGAAGTTCAAAAAGCTATAGCTAATCTGAAACGAGGAAGAGCAGCTGGTCCATATGGAGACTCCAGATGTCTTTAAAGATGGTGATTCAGTTTTAGCGATTAGGTTGACCAATATTTTAGCTAAAATCTAGGAGTTGGACGTTATCTTATCTGACTGGTTGCAATCGATGATTGTCGAAATATAAGGGAAGGGGTCAAAATCATCCTGTGACAATCATAGAGGGATTAGTTTGGCTAACATAGCATCTAAAATACTAGCCTCAACAAAGACTTGTGAACTGCAAACATAAGAAAGTCAGGCTCGCTTTAGACCTGGTCGTGGCCGTATCGACCACATATTCACCATTCATCAGGTTTTAGAACACAGGCATATCGGTGTCCGACAATGGTGGTCCTTGTTGACTTGACTCTGAAGACCGAGAGGTTCTGTGGCAGTGCCTGTCATTGAAGGGTATACTTCAGAAGTACATAAACCTTATGAAGGCTCTTTATTCGGACATTACCAGTCGAGTCAGGGCTTATGGCGAACTGTCATCTACTTTTGCAACCTCAAGTGGTTTGGGCCTAGGTTGTCCACTTTCTCTATTTTTGTTTAACTTCATCATAAAACTACTGATGAAAATAACGCTCTCATCAACTGAATTTTTGGGCATTGACTTCCTATCAGAATGACTATTCACCGACTTAAAATACGCAAATGACATAGTCCTGTTTAGTGAAGACGCTGATAAAATGCAGTCTTTTGGTAGCACTGAGTAACAATGCCAGGGTGTTTGGGATGTGCTTCTGCCCCTCTAAATGCAAGCTGTTGCTTCAGGACTGGTCTGCGTCAACACCTGATTCAAGGATAGGGAGTGAAGTAGTTGGACGCGTCAACTTCACTTATCTTGGTTTCTGATCAGCCCTAATGGGTTGGTTCCTGGAGAAATCTCACAGGTTCAAAAAGCTCGTTTGGCTTTTGCCGACTTATGTCACTTATGGTGAAGGCGAGATATCCGTCTATCAATAAAAGGCCGAGTCTACTGCGTAGCAATTCGTTGTTTCACTTTACTCGTTAATCACTTGTATTTGACCACAGATGTTTTCGAAATATTGCTCGCATCTTCTGGGATCATCGGGTAAGTAATAGTGCGGCTAGACACAGGGTGTTATGGAATGGTGGTAAATCAGTTGATGATTGTAAATCCTCATGACCCGAGATGGTTGGGCCACGTATTTTGCATGCCTAACCACCGACTACCATAGCGTGCAATGCTGGCTAGTGCTGGGAACGGATGGAAGAAATTCAGGGGCCACCAAACCAAAATGTGGCATCCATACTTCAAGTCACTAACTTCTGGTCAGAGCCATGTTGGTAAATGCAGACCACTTGGTTGGGTTCGCGCGACTATCGTAATCAGCGATTGGAGATTCTGTGAGACATGGCTCAGAATCGATCACAATGGAGTAAGTGTATACACTCTTTGTCTGCCCTTAAACCGTGAAGTTAGGATTACTTCATATCTTTCTTCATACGAACTAATTCTTTCTCCCTGTATCAACTTGAACTGATGCATATATATGCCTGGTTTCACGTTGTAGCTTACTGATTGACTACTTAGTTGCATGACAGTGATACTTTGAAGTCACGCATGGTTGCATCAGTAATTTGCAACGGCCATATGAGAACACATTTCAATATGTCTAGTCTTCAGCTAGATAATGTTGTTATACAAGCAAGTGTACTTTAACATTTACATATAAAACTCACAGTGAGACTATAATTTATGGACGACCTTTGAGCGACGCTAAACTGACCTTGAGAGTCTTCACCTAATAACTAGGGCCAAATGAGAGTTATCAACCAGTGTGAGGAATTAGAATTATGATTTACAGTTGATGGTTCGAGTTAGGAATTACATTTAGGGTTTTTATCACGAACTGACATCAGCTATAAGGCCAAAACTCTATTTAGCCAAATAGATGGGTGAATTTCGCGCTGAAATCCGAGACCTGTCATCTCATACCTGATTGGTTCGTCCATAAATTATAGTCTCGCTACCCTGATGAGTGTAGGTGTTAAAACATGATTGTATGGTGGCAGAACGAATGTGGATCACGTTTTTTAAAGTTTATGCCATGACCTATGTTTTGACTAGAAGCGATATTTATATAA